ATTTTTTTGTAAGTTATAATTTAATAAAACAATTAATATTATAATTTCCCCATCATCTCCATTACTTACGTATATTCTTGACCTTCTGCACAATATTGCGTTCACGTATGATGGTGTCGGCTAAAAGGAATGCATTATACTCCAGCCCAGTCAGCAATGATGTGGCAACACGCATTTGATCTTCCTGATTCAGATCCATCCATGAGGACAATTGTGATTCATCGAGTAAATTTGAACCAGTCTTTACCACACCATGTAGTAATTCTAATATGATAGCCTCACGTTGCCGCTGATCTGGTAAGGTCTCTTTGTCGTGGAACATTTTCTCCGACATGGTTTGGATTATTTTCGTAGTTACAAGCATGTCCCCACCATATAAGGTTTTGCTACTAGTCACCTATTAGCAAGTAATTAAATGTTAACACATAATTTTAGTGGKAAAAGTGTACAAAGCAGTAAACAAACCTCTGATAGATCATTTGCTATTGAAATAACAGATGATTCGCGTTGATTTACGCGCACCTCCAAGCTGTTCAGCCACAGACTGCGGCATTGCGTAAGATCCGGCGTCATGGGATGCCAAGTGGGCTCGAAATTGCCGATGCGTTGACTTAATCTATCAGCGGCATTTTCACAGCTGCTGTTGCCACTACTGCTGCTGCAATTAGTACGCGGTATTGCACGCATTGTGGTGGTTTCCGCTATGCCACCATCCTCTTCTTTGTAGTTGACGCGCTTCATAAGTACACAACGCCATTTAGCAATGCCAGTTGCGCCTCCTAATGAAACATTTTATATTTACATATAAAAAGATGATAAAAGTAGCTATTGCGTAATATATTACCTGGACAGGGCTGCACATTTACATCGCCAACGCGTGTTATATTCCAGAAGAGATTACGCGCATTCGTTGGCCCGCAGAACATATTCGATTCATCCTCGGCCACCGCACCCAAACCCATATTGAGGTTATTTATATTGTTTATGGTGCGTATACCATTACTTCCACCGCTAGCTTCAGCGCCCATTACGTTGTTATTGTTGTTGCCAGCAGCATGTTGTTGTGTTGCGGTACTCTGCTGTTGATTACCACGATTTTGTGCGGTTTTAGCGGTGAGTATGGTGCCGTCATCTGTGCCGCTGCCACCAACACCACTCAGTATGCGCGTATTGGGTGTGGTGGTTGTGTTGGACGGACCCACATGTGATTTGGCTATGTATAGACATGTATTTCAACTTAATCATATAAGAATTAAACAAATTTTCTTAACTTACTTTGATTTGTGCCCGGCGTGCGTGTAGATAAATCATTTTTCGCCGTTGGTCGCGTATTGCTGACAGTACTATCAGCCGCATTGACGCCTTCCACAGGCGTTGCTGCATGATGTCCCGTATGATGATGATGATGCAACGGCGGTGGTGGTGGTAAACCATCGTGTCTGTTGGAATTCTTTATTACCGTTGTATTATAGTTGCCTTTCAGACGACCGCCTGGTAATGTGGGTTGYGGTGGACCTGGCGTTGGCGGCAGTGTATGCCAAAGGCCACCTGCCGATGGAATGCCACCATTGGCAGGTAGTGGTAGGCGACCTGGTCCTTGCGGTTGCAGTGGCACACTTGGATTAATTAGTGTGCTGCCATTGGCAAGCAATGGTGGATTATTCGCTAACACCCACGGTGGACTGGGTCGATTGGTGGTGGTTGATGTTTGTGCTGCCGATATGCATTGGTAATGCGCCTCGAGATACTTGTGTGTACCAGGACAGGGATCGCCAAACATACTTGTCGTTGCCAGCACACTGCAACTTTGTTTGTGTGCGCATCTAAAAAAAAAAAAAAAACGAAATGTAGAAAATCGTGTAATGTTATAACTTATGCCTCTAAATGTGAACCACTCTACTTACTTTGAATTCAAAACGGTCAAACTCTTTGGGAACATGCAGTTTACACTCCATTCGACATTGCCATGGTCATTGCATATCGTTATCGAGAAGCGTCCGTAATTCGCACGTATCAGGTTGATCAGGTCGCCTGGATCGCATTCTATTGTTAATTTCTTACCTTCACAGGCGTATGCAGTTTGGTATTTGGGCGCTATTAAGAGAGAAAATCATATAATTAGTAAAAAAAAAAATGTTTCATTTATAGTTTTGCAACAGAGCAAGAAATTTTTTCGTATATAGACATATGAAATATACAATGTAATGAATTATATAATGTAATATATGCATTTTTTATAAATATAGTAATTAATAGATTGTGTTAAATGTCGTTGTTGTAGTTGATTTGGTTTGGTTTAGATTGGTTGGATGATGTTTATCTGAAAATAGATTAAAAGCTATGCATGGCAAATGTATGATTTTATAAACATGTAACATATAAATACATAAGTATACGAATAGCAATAATTTGTGAGCACAATCATGTTTTTAGCCTACGTTAGATACTTAGAATGCTTCCAGGCATGCCTGCCATATGATTTCTTAGCTTTGTTGCGTATGTTCATAAATACCAATGCCATCTGTAATAATGTTAAAACTCAGCGTACACCTCCAGACATGTGTGAACCAGTTCAAGATACATCGCCATGTTGATGAGTCACCATATGCTGCTTTCTTTTCGCCCGTTTCTTTCGCTCATGAAATGAAGTCATGGTTGAAGTGGAGATATTTGCGGCTGGACTGTAAAAAAAAAATTAAGAGAAAAAATTATTAAGATTTGTACAAAATTCTATATATACATATGTACATCAACTTCAGTTCTTCATGTCGCCGAATTCAATCAAACAATAACGAAATGGCGACTTTTAAGCAAATACTGAGATATGTTGCACCTACACACACATGACCCACGAAACAAATAACATATATTGAAATACCATAAGTACTAATGTGGTGTGTGAGGATAAGTAAATACCAGAAGGTATTACTGGATTACAGTGGAATG